TGATGAGATAAATGGAGACAGACGATTGAACTTGACCAATGAGAATAATTTTAAAATAAAAATATTTTTACCTACTATTGATATAGCTTTAGCACAACTGAACAAAAGATTTACTGATTTGAATGAAATGGTGAATACATTTGAATTTTTCAGTTCATAAAAATTAAAAATTTCTAAAAATTTAAACTTAATCAAGTGCTTGATATATGACACAAAGTTTAACCCATCTTATTAAGAAATTCGGTTCTACTACATCTACCATCTTAAGAAATATAAACTGATTTACCTGACATCTTTCGTTCATAATGGTTTGTAACGATTGTTACATATTATTAATGTCTACTCATGTAATATGGATATTGCTGAGTAGACATCACGTTAATTTACATGTTATTACATTAAGTCGCGGTAGTTCTGCCACAACGTTTGTCCGAGGTAGCTGAACTCCATAGTCCGTAAGTCTAATTTATATATGTATATTAAATAATAACTAAAACTAAATCAATCTACATTTATTTGTAATATCAAGATCTTTCCTCTTATGCTTCCGAGCTACGGTATAATATATTCATAAGGACTAGAAAACCTTCCCTGAATATCATATATTTAACTGGTCATCCCCGACCACGTTACAGGTTTTTTCGAGATTAGTGTTATATTGATTTTAAATTTATAAGAGCGATACACCAATTCTATACACTCATCTCTGTACCTCATTCGACCTAAAAAATTTGCTTTTTTTATATTTTTAAATCATTTGTATAAAATAATCATCAAAATGTTACCTAGACATTTACATACTCTCATTTGATTTATGAACAATAAGTAATTAATTAAATAAACTATTGACTGAGGTTTAAAATATGCAAGAGAATTTAACTTCACATGAATGTTAAATTACATTATTTAAATAAAACCATACTGCCAGTAGCAGTTAAAATAATTAAAAATATTTTTCAGAAACATACACTTAGAATGTATATAGTTTACCACACCAAAAATTTCAAAAATACACTATTGGTGTAATAGTAGAATAATATTAGGTTGTTGCAATCAAAAAACATAAATTGTAAAAATTTAATGTCTTATTTATATTATATACCACAGCCATTTTATTGACAATACATCGATTTTATTGAATAAAAAAGTACACAGTAAAATATAATTAAGAACATTACAATAATAGTACATAAATCCTATATATATATATATCGACAGCCCCAACGAAAAAGGTCGTATCCCTATTTTTTTCAATATTAAGGTAGTATCTCAAAAAATCCCATGAAAGATTATTTTTTTAAATTATTTTTTTCATATTTTTATATATTCTTATCATAAATTATATAATATGTAACCAAATTTTCAAATTTATATATTAAAAAACAGAATAAGAATTTAAATTTGAATGTTAGTTTGGTTCATCTTGAAAAGTTCCAAAAAATGAGATATGACCTTTTTCAATGGGGCCGTCGATATATGTATAGTATAAGTTTATTTTGGTATAAAAACAAATATAGAAAACTAATGAATGAGACATCATATTATATCACTTTTTGAGCCAGGTATGGTTATGATTAATAGAAATATCAAATTTACTATCATCAATGCCAACATATTTAACATTTTTTTTTTGAAATAAAAATTAACTATCTATCTATAAATGCATTTTAAATAAAATGACAAAATGTGTATAAAATAAAACATTATCATATTAATATATACATGTAAAATAACCAAATGAGAAAATTAAATATTGATGAATAAAGTAATATAATTATTGCCAAGATTTTTGTTTGTTACAACTTAGTACTTAACTACATAATACTGTAGGTAAATAGTATAGTGTATATTCTTAAGATACACGATTTATGAATATGTCTTAAGAAAATACATACACAGTTGAAAAAACAAAAAATTAATAAATAAAACTTATACAGGTACATAAAGATTAAATAATTTGGTAAATATAAACGTAATTAAGTAGTCATAATATATAATACTAATTAATATAAAAATAATTAACATTATAGGTATAGGATACATTTATTTTAACTAAATTATCAATATTAAAAATTTAAAGTGGAAAAATAAATTGAAAGCCAAAATAGAATTCTGGTAATGCAGATGTATATTCATGAAGAATAAATTATTTTTCTCGTTCACCAATATCTAATGCCATGAACACATACTTATAGAATAGTGTTGATACTACTGTTCCAGAAAAGGGACCAACCCAGTAGATCTAAAAATACAATATATTTATTATTTTTATTATACATTCTTAATATAATGATATTATCTAATGAAAGATATAGCAATATTTTACAATGCAAAATCAAATTATGTGGACTTAAACTTCACTTTAAACATGTATAAACAAAATTATAAATAATTTACACAACATCATCTAACAAAAAAATAACTAAAAAATTTAAAAATATGGAACTTTCTTATTTAATAATATTAGGTACACAACAAATAGAGACCAATATTTAGAAACATTGAGTTCCTTAAATTTGATAATAAGTGTTTAAATTTAAAAATGAAAGTAAATGCAAAATGTTGACAATAAATCATCAATAAATCTTAAAATAACTTACCCAATGCATATCCCATGAATTGTTATAAATTGCTGGTGCTAATGACCTTGCTGGGTTTAAACTATTTCCAGTTAATGGACCCTAAAATAATAATAAAAAAAATGTATAGTTGAAAGTAGAAAAAAAAAGATAAAAAAAAATTTTAAAAAAAATTTAAATTTGGTACCAAATTTGCATTTGAAATAAGTAATCTATTTTACAAACTTTTACGTATTATAATTCACTATAATATATTTAAAAGACACAAAATATTATACTTAAAAATAAATATAAAACTTACAACTATAACTGAAGTCATGAAGATGATAACTAAAAATTTTAAAGAACCACAATCTCCATTACCACTACGTGGGTCCCAAACTGCACAAACAAGAAGAATTAATACTCCAGTTGTCATACTTTCAATTGAAAGTGCTTGCCAAGGAGTCAATCCAGCAACTGGACTTGTCACACAAATTCCAGGTTCCGCAGTATTCAAAATATTATAAGGTGAAACAACCTATAGATGATAAACATAAATTATATTCAATATTATATATTATATTTAATATACTCACCACTAAAATTCCATATCCAACAAGAGCTCCTGAGAACTCAGCTACTATATATACAAAAGCTGTTATAATAGGTAGTTTTCCCAATAATAAGGCGCACAATGTAACACAAGGATTTATGTGACAGTTGCTGATATGACCAATGATCTATAAATTAATTTTTATTTTAATTGTTCAAATCAAATAAAAAAAATTAAATAAAATAAATATTTTTATAAATTAAATATATAAAACTTACAACAATAGTAACACACACAATGCCAGAAAATGAAATAGCTCCACTATACGGACCAAGTACACTTTCAGGAGATTTTGGAACTAATCCCATACAACCGAATAGCATTAATATTGCAGTTCCAATAAGTTCAGCTAGAAATATTGACAGTAATTTTTGCCATGGTGGTCGTTCAAATAATTGACTCGATTCACTTGTACCTGAAAGAAAAATGAAATAAAGTAATTTAGTCGATAATTTAACAAAAAACTGTGTACTTTGAGTTATTAAAGGTAAATTATCATCAATTATATCATCCATTTTAATATACAACTTAATATGATGATTCAACCATTTGACCAAAAATTATATAAATAAAACCAAAGCAAAGTAACAAAAAAAAATAATCGTTGTTTAATTAATAGCATAATTATTCAAGTATTGTTAAAACAATTCGTTTTGTTAAGGATATCAAATTTATTTAAAAATTCAAATCATATATATTCAATATACATTTCAATTTAATAATTCAAATTTAACACAGTAAAATACTTTTAAAATTATTTAGAATTGTGATAGACGTTATCAAATAACTTTATCAGGTGTAACTTTAATGATATCGAAAATTATATCATGGAACCCATGATTACGGCTGTAGATTTACAGTTGTTCCCAATACCCACGATTTGGAACATATGAAAATATTAAAGTTCAGACCTTTTTGCAGTTCATATGACATTTTTATTTTCATCTAAAAGTAACATCACACTCGATGATATTAAAATAAATTATTAATATTAACGAAGAATACATTTTTTTTCTATAGTGATACAAGCATAAGAAACATAAATAAAACTGTATTTTATAAATGTAAGTAAATAATAAATAAAAAAAAAAAAATTTAATTAAATCTGTATAGCCAAAATATGTATTTCACACATCAGCTTAATACTATAAATTATTTGGGAAATTAAGTCAATACTTTTTAATTTTGTACCATTAGGTCAAAATAAATAATGCAATATTCATGGAGAGCATACTTAAAAATTCTTAATTTATTCGTTATTGCAATTAAATGTACTATACAAGTATAGGCGCAATTAGAATAATTAGAACATAGATTTTAGTGTTATATATTTCAAAATTAAACAGACTTAAAATGAACACTAAATATACATAAATTAGCCGATATTTCAAGTTATTGTACGCATAAATAAAATAACTCAAGCTAATAAATGGTTTAAATTTTAATTCGTATTTTGAGGCTTATTTTTAATGTATTAAAATTAATAATGCATTAACTATAATAAATATTATAAGTAGATACAAACACATACATTTATAAATTTGAACCGTATATTTTTTTATGTGCTTGTAAACACTCAAGTACCTAATAACAAAAAAATATATATATATAAATGCATTTTATGGTAAGTATTAGTGAATTATAACTATTATTATATTGATTCATTGTGAAAGCTTTTTATTTAAAATTATTTAATTTAAACACTACTACGAACTCGTACTTCAATATTAAATTAATTTAAAAGCAACATATAATAACAAGGTATATAAAATAATTCTGAAATAATTTTAATCGTTTATTATTTCTAGTTAATCTGTACGTAACAACAGGACAAATTAAATGTTATAATCGAGTAACTTTTAATATTCATGTTAAAATATAGGAAAGTCAACATCACAATATCATTTGCATATTGAATTCATTATGATAATTATGGTAATCAATATTATTTTTCTCAAGAATACAAATTTAATGAATTGTTTTGTTAATCTTTATGGATGTCGAAAAAAAAGGTTATAATTGATTTCCAACATAAAATAATCAATTAAAAGCAATACACGTAGATTCTGAAAAATGTTGGTGGAATTTATCTCTAACTTAATTGACTGAGAAATAAAAAGTATTAATTTATTAACCGGTCACACATTGTAAATGAATTACCTTAGCATCAAAATTTTCTAATACAGTTACATTTATATTTACTTAAAATTATTTAGTAAAGAGTTGTAATTATCATTAACATAAACAAAGCAAAAAAAAATAAAAGTAATATTAATAAAATGTCGACAGTATAAAAAAATATATGAATACATGAATGATGAGAATAGTTTAAAGCAGTGGTTTTCAACCTTTTTTTGGATCGTGACCCCCCATTTTTTATTTTTATGTAATGCGACCCCTTAAAAAAAAAAAAAAAATGTTGTTTTATTCATGAAAATTTGATTTAATTACCCATAAAATGTTTACATGATAAATAATTTTGATTAATTAACACTTAAAAATTTCACAAAATAAATAATTTACTTTGTTTTTTTTTAAAGAATATGGAAAAACCAATTCATCCATTATTTTTGGCGACCTCCAAACATATGATTCGCGACCTCCAGGTTGAAAACCAGTGGTTTAAAGTATGGTTTCAAGAATAAATGTATTTTTATACACTCAGGATTAAAAAATATGATAATTTTGTAACTGTTTGAAATACGTTTTTCAATTTTAATAATTTGATATAAGTACCGTCTTTATAAATATTTGAAATTATTAATTATATGAAGGAAAATAATAAGTGATTATAGAAAAAAAATAAACTTAAAGACATAACTAAAATATCAATTAATATATATGTATACATGTAACATGATGATTGTAGATATATTAATCCCAGACAACTTGTAATTTCATATTATGATTTTTGTCCTACTGAATTTTTATTACATAAAATGTACACAAAATAAACAAGAAAATTAAAGCTAAAATAATAAAAATTCAAGTAGTGAAATTCTATTAAAATTTTAAATCTAATTCAAAATCTTACATTACACCGAAAATATTCTTTTTTTTTTAAAAAAAGTTTTATTTTCACGATATTATTATGATAGAACAAAATAAAATTGCTCTAAAGATGGGTTTCTGTATTATCAAGAGTCTGATAAAACAAGTTTTATTGTATAAAGATATTTATAAGAATCATATTTTATGTAGGTCAAAGTATTTTCTACTATTAAATAGAGAAACCGTAACGCTAAATTACGGATACTAAGTATAATAAAAATACTCCCGAATAATCAGTTATATCTACTAATAGTTAATACTACAATATAATAATAAAATTAACTATAATTTTTTATGTTTACACAAATCAAACATTAATATTTTTAAGAAAAAAACATTATTATGTTTAAATGTAAATACTCACAATTATTATTGTAAAAATGTAATAAATAAAATTAGTGCTGAAGTATGGTATCAAAATAAATATAAAATAATTATATATTTACCTGTATTACGTCGATATATTAATCTATCATTGTAATCATTGTAATTTATTATTTCAAATAGATCTTCCATTTTAAATACTTCGTTACTCAATAATTTTTTTCGAAGATATAGTTAATAATTAGTTACGAGATACAACTACTATAGCTGATTATGGTATTAAAGTATAACTCCCTTGTGTATTATGTTTAATAACATATACAGTTTAAATAATTCAGAAAAATGTATAATTATTAAATACAAGTGTTATAGTTCCCCTCCCCCACGATTCAAATATTAGTGAAAGACAAAAATTATATTTTGCGCATAAATAATAACAAATATTGACATACTGTTTATTTGAACAATAGAAAAGTTTTTTTTTTTTTTTTAAACTGGTAATAAACTTGTAATATCTATGAATATTAAATTATTTTAATTTATAAAAAGTATAGAATTAATATAAAACACATATATTCATGATTCGTAACCCATAACGTTAACCTACGCTTCAACTACATTTTTGAATATTATTCATAAGCAAAGAACATTTATCACATCTAATTTTCAGGAACTTTTACTACAAATATAAAAATCAAATTAATATTTAGATGTGATACTTTTACAATATAATTTAATTGATGGATTAATAATAATTCAGAATGAGGATAAACTTAAAAAAGTCCTTACAATTATGAATATATAGATATAATATATAATATAATAATTATTATATTATAATTATAATATATTATAATATATTATAATATATAATGTATTATAATATAATTATATTATATAATATATAATATATATATTTTAATGAATAAAGCCAGGATTTTTTGTAAAAAATATTGTTAAATTGCATATATTTATGCACACGAAAATTAAATAATACACAAAAAATATGCAATAAAATTCTTTATTATGTATTTAATTTTTTTTTTTTTTTTAATATATTACATTGTATAAAATATTAAAATTTACTATGATTTACAAATTACAGAATAAATAATTAATAATCTAACATATAAATTCAACAATATTTATCTTTGAACAGATACCAACACGAAATTATAAAATATGATTTTAGATTTTTAAAATGAAAGTCAACGGAACGAAGTGGAACGGTTGTCACGCAGAATAGAATTATACATAGAAAAACATATTTCTACGTCAAAAAACACTATTAGCACATATTTAAAACAATTTAAGTCTACAGGTAACAATTCTACAATTCCTATATTTTTGTCACTTAATTCTCTGCTTAATGTTCCATAGATTGTTTAATTTTAAAAATACCCTGGAATTTTTGACAATACTTTCGATAGTTTAGAAAACTATAACTGTAACTCCTTATATTAAATAGGCAAAATTAAAATATTTATTATTTATAAAATATCCATTATTTTGTCCATTATATATAAATATGTAATTAATACTCAATTTACTCAAATATGTAAAATATTCAAAAACAAAAATTATCCATAGGAATGTATACAGTGCGAGACGTCGACATTTGAAATAAAAATTATTGTATATATACGAGTATATATAATTACTAATGACTGTACCTAAGAATATAAAGTTTGAGTTTATCTGAGTTTTGATTGTACATTCAATATTTAAAATATATTTCGAAATTGAATTAAAGATTATACGTCCTTCAAAAAGAAAGAAAATATAATGAACATAATTCTGCAATAGATCGATCCCAAGGTTACGATTAAAGCCTCCAAATATTGAGTCTAAAGCACTTCAACCTGACTACTCTGAATTTAAATTTTATTTGTTACATATTTAAATAAATTGAAATTTATTTTTAAGAGCCAATCATAATTATAGTTTAAGCAATATTTGTAAGACTAAAAAGTTTAAAAAAAATAAAATAATATAATATAAATTAAAATAAAAAAATTACTGTAAAAGACACTGTAAAAA